CGCCTCAGCGGCTACCACAGCCGGAGGCACATGATCGAAAGCGCGGTGTTCCCACAATCCCTGGCACAACAGCAGCTGCAAGCGCTGGACGACCTCTACCTCAGCCTCGGATTTCGAGACTTTGCCTAAGGCATGCAGCAAAATATGGCGTCCTTTAGGGATAGCATGTTTGAAGGTTCTACCCGGGAGCAGTGTGTTGATTTTGTCCTTTTTGTCTGTTTCGTGCCCTGACCTCAGCCTTTTGGTCCCATTCTTTGTCTAAGTCTAAGCCATTCCACGCAAACGTACCGACAAAAAGCCACCAGTGCGTCGAACTTACAGATGTGGACTCAGACTCAGACGTGGACCAGCAACCGGTTCGACTACCACACGGACTACCGCTGGATGATCCGCCACCGTGCTTGCCTGTGAGCAGTCATTTGGAGGTTGAGCAGAAGAGATCGGGGTCTCTGTCGCCCCGGCAGACGAGTCTCGCCTTGGCTTTGAGTGGCAGCCAAGGGTAACCGGCATTCTTGTTCCGGTAGCACACTCGAGTGTCCAGGAAGCGCTCCTTGGGGTACTCGGCCTCCGCAGCTTGGCTTGGCTTGCCTCGAGGTCGAGCGCGTCGGTCGCGCCGTACTTCTGCCACGTGTCCCATTCCTTCACCAGGGCGGCTGCGTACTCCTCGCGCTGGTGCTCGGGGATCATGTGGTACGGAATCTCTTTCTCCAGGGCCTTCTGCTCCTTGCGGGTAGCCCCGGTGTTCCTTGGGAACATCGCCGCGGAGAGGAAGCCCGGCGGTGCCCCAGCGTAGTACTCCTGCTCCGTGACCGGCACATACGTCGAGTTGTAGTTGACACCGTGTTCCTCGACCGCCTCGTCTCGATGCTCAGCCAAGCGAGCTCGCTTGGCCTCCGGCGCTTCGGGGTGAAGTCCACCTGCATCTTCCAAGCCGACGGGGCGTGCAAAGGAAGTAGGCGAAGGTTGCGTCACGTCCGTCCCGACCGACGACTCGGGGGGCACGTCGGCTGTGGTCCGCCGTGGGCTGCGCTCGCGTTCGTGTCCGCGGTCTTGGGGCGGATCGTGCCGTAGCTCTCGTGGTTCACCTTCACCTTGTGGAGGATGCGGTCCGTGGTCGGGTAGTAGCGGCCGAGGTTCGCCGCCCTCGACTTCTCCGACCCCGGCAGCTGGATGAGGTAGCGGATCGTCTTCCTCGTAGTCTCCTGTCTCGTCGTACAAAGGAATAACTTCTCCAGGGCTTTGGGCCTCTCCTTCAGCCGGAGGTGGCCCGCGCTCATCCACGTAGTCCTCCGGGGGGTTGTCAAGGATCCCCTGTAGAACTTCATCTTGAATCCTCCAAAGCTCGGTGCCGTAGGCTGGCCTCATCTGCTCCTTGGCCGCGAGGATACATCTCCCGGCAGAAGCGATCCAATAGTTGGACTGCGAGTGGTCCCCCTTGTGCGGCCCGACCAAGCAGCGGGTAGCCGGCGAACTTTCTTAGTCTTTGCGTCCCGCCGCGTCTTCGCTTCCCTCCAGAAAGCCACAAGCTCCCCGGGCTCGTAGGAATCCCGGCCTGGACGGTCGAGTCGTAGCACCGCCTTCCTCAGAGCGTCGTTCACCATGAACTCGGCGATGCGGGAGTCCGCTTGGGCTCTCACATAATGCCGTCGACGAAGCTCTTGATCCAGGTCCAGTCCTTGGAGTGCTTGGAGCTTGCCGTCAGGGCTCAGGAGGTCCGTGGGTTTCTTGGGGCTCCTGCCGAAAAGCCACTCGTTGGGACTACATCCGCAAGTCCTCACCTTGTCGTTGAGCGATGCCGACACCTGGGCGCCGAGCAGCTTCATGTCGACCTCGCCCTCGAGTTGGTGTTCATCTACGAGGCGTGCCGCCACATAGCGGAACGCCCGGTTGTAGGCTTCCACGGCACCGGTTTGCCAGTGGGCTTCGCCAGCATTGTGGTCGACGTCGGTGCCAACGTTCTTCATCTTTTCCGCGAACACGCCTTCAAAGGCCCCGTCCTGGTCCGCGAAGATCATCTCGGGGAAGCCGGCCCAGGACGCCCACATGTCACAGAACTTCTCGAAGACGTGCTCGGGCTGCCTGCTCTCCACGGGCTGGAACAGGTTGTAGTTCCCGTTGGGCTCCAGCACGTGTAGAAAATTGTGGCCGTCGCCCTTGGCGTCATGTAGGTACACAAAGTCCAGCATGACCTTGGAGTTGAAGGGACCCGCGGCTCGGAGTGACGTCGGTCGAGGGAGTAGAGGTCGCCGGGTGCGCTCGCAAGTCGCGCATCTCAGCCTCCGCGCCAAGGCCACAGCCTCCGCCGACACCTTGGGGTCTTGGTTTAGTGCACGCACCAAGTCCTCAGTTCGCGGGTGTCCCAAGTTCCGATGCATCCGCACGAGGGCCTTGGCGAGGATCTTCTCCTTGGGCTTCAGCGGGCCACCAATGATCCAGCATTCGCCCGCAAAGTCTTGCCTCACCAGGCCTTCCTCGACCAAAACGTCTTGAGCATCGTCCTTCACGGCCACGCCTTCTTCGGCAGGTTGTAGTGGAGGAGGTTGCGCAGCCGCAGGTTGTTGAGGTTCACCCGGTGCGTGCCCTAAGACAAACACGCCGTACCTCACAGGAGTAATAAACCTCTCCCGCGGTGCCTGGGCATCTCGAAGGAACTCGGTCTCGATAGTGATGGAGTCGTCGTTGAGGAGCAAAATGGAGGCTCGGTGGCATTCCTCCAATCCAGGTCTCACTCTCTTGGCCTTAGGGAGGTGAGCCACCTGCACAAACAACAGCTGCCGCGGCACCAATGCCTCGATCTTGCGGTAGAGTTCGGTCTCCGGGTGCACGTGCATGCTCGCTTGCGTCTTCCTTCCCAACAGCTCCTTCACGTGCTCCATCACCTCGCGCCAGTCGGCCTCGGTCCTTGTCACGTCGACATAGCACACGGCTCGCGGCAGAGAGGCTTGCCATGTAGCCCGCGATGCGCAGTCCTCCGCCGCGATCATGTCCAAGTAGCTTCGACAGATTGCGTCCCCGAGGTCGGGCGGATACATCGTGGTGGCCGGTTGCCCCGGTCTCTCCCTTTGTCGGCAGTAGCCCGCGAGGTGCTCCACGAGTTCCGGGTGCGTAGCAACGAACTTCACCTCTATCGGCCGAGCTGCGAACCCTTGCTTCACAAACGTGGTCGCGGTCTCGTGCTCGGCAATGTGCCCGCCGCCGTGGATCTCGGCCAAGACATGTCCTCCTCGGCCGCGCTGGTCGACGATCACATCCCGCACGAGGTCGCGGTACTTCTTCTCCTCGCCGTAGTAAGGATCATCCTCGCCACGGTGGGTGTCCAACTGCCGATACGAAGGCCACGGGAGCTCGATCACCACGAGTCGCGCCGGACAACGGCCGAGAGTTCGTCGAAGCCAATCGTGGAACCAAGCCTTGGAGAGGTCCAGGCCCGAACGAACGTCCATCGGCTGCAACACCTTGAGGTCCCAGTGTCCTGTGGCTCGAACCGACACATAGCTATCACCGCCCAGGACCTCCACAACGTCGTAGGCGAAGCTGTGCCGGGGCCACGTGCAGCCGTCAAGCCGTGCCTCCACCACCGAATGGTGCAGCCGAGATGCTGCCAAGGCGTTCTTGACGCCGTTCATCAATCTCCTTCGCTGTCCCGGCCGGAGGCGGTCTATCACAGGTTCTCGTCCTCCGCCGAGCTCACCAGCACCACGCTTTCGTCCGTCTCCTCCGGCAGGTCGATCCTGTGGTGCACCACCCCGCGGTTCGACATGTACTTCTCCTCCTCGGCCCGCTCCAGCTGCTCCTCGTCCTCGAAGACCTGTGCGGCCTCTCTGGCCTCCCGCGCCTCCTTGGCTTTCTGCCGACGCTTCGCCTCGAGGCGCCGTGCGGCTTCGGTCTTGATTCTTTCGCGCTCCTTGAGGTCCGCCGTCTCCGAAGATGCCGAAGACCTCTGAGGCGCGGTGCTCGACGCGGGCCGCCCCTTCTTGTTGGCCGTCTCCGGTCGAGTCGACGTCGCCGCCCCAGTCGCCGGTGATGCCGTGGATGCCGGCGAGGACGAGTAGCAGTCGCAGAGCTTTTTGAAGGAGTCCTTGCCCTGCGCCGCGGTTGTACCTTTTGGCGCTCCGATTTTCCTGCCCGGCATGTTCCTGATCCCGTGGAGGTGTGGTACACGTGCACCTCCTCGTGGCTGATCGGAACCCGATAGACAAGGCCCTTCCACACCGTGCCGCACTGCAAGCACTCCTGGAACCTTCCATGTTGATTCCCGAGTCGCCGTGCCAGATCCGGCGGGTGCATGCAGTGTTCCGGGCTCTTGGGGTACGGTGTCTTTGCCAGCCGAGGGATCTGTCCGGGGGGCTTCGTCGTCGCTGGTGGTGCTGTCGCTGGCATCGTGTCCGGTGTCGTGTCTTGGGCAATGATCGCCTCCGCGTAGGCCATCAGAGTGGGCCGCCGATGCTTGGCCCAGCGCGTCACCTCGTGGACCCGGGCATAGCGGCTGGCCAGGTCCATCACATCGATCAGCATCTCGGCCAGTCGCTCCCATGCTTCCAGCACTTGACGCTTGACCTTTGGGTTGAGCTTCCGCATGTGGCACTGAGGCGGTCTGCGGGCGCTGTGCTTCGAAGCCAAACTCACCGACGGGAATCACGAACTGACCCTTGCGCTTGGACACTGGCACATCCAGACACTGCTTTGACGACAAGTCGAAGTGATGCACTTTCTTAGAAGAAGCTTCCCTCACTTCCCTGGCTCGGGCCTCGACGTAGCTCCCATCGTGGAGCTTGACTTCCACCCGGTCGGCCACGGCCGGAAAGTTGATGGAGTCGGGGTTCGCACCTTTGCCAAAGAAGTATGTAGCTCCAACCCAAGGATCACCCTCACGACCAGACCCATTAGCAACCCAATCATCACACACAGGTTCGGTGTCACAGGACATGACCGTCACTCTCACGGGCTGCAAGTCCTTCCTGTCGGGTCCGTCCTTGGTGTCCTGGGGCTCGAAGAAGCTGCGCCGCGGCCTGGCGTGGTGGCGGGTGTGGGTCCCCTTGTCGGCCCTGTGCTGCCCGTAGTCATTGGACACAGTGCAAGGGAAGCGTTCACTAGTATTGGGCTCATAGTAGTGCGTGGTTGCAAAGTTCATGTCTGTAGGCTCGACAACGACTTCACTTTTCCCGGCCGGCTTGGCTGCTAGCTTTGCCGCCTCCCTTTTTGCCTTTGCCGCCGCCTTTCCCTTTTGACTTGCCAGCGTCTCCCTTGGAGCCTTTGCCCTTGCCCTTGCCGCCGGCGTTGACATAGAACCCCCTTGCCTGCACCGCCCGAGAAAGTCTCTGGCGGTTTTTTTCGGTGTGTACTAAAGCATTCATGGAGTTCTCGAGCCACCTCCTCGGGCAACTCGTCAACGTCAGCATCCGCCAGGGCCTCGATGGGGTCGTAGTCGGCGATCCAGGTCTGAATCTGTTCGTCGGTCGCGGCCACAGACGGTATGCGTAGGTCCCCGTAGTCCCACTGCTGAGCCTCATGTGCAGCTCGTTGTCGACGGACAGGGGGTTCGCGGCCTTCTCGGTTCCCTCTGACCACAACACCTTGGTAGAGGAGCTCGACCGCCTGCTTGATCTTCTTCCAGTGGTACTCGCCACCGGTGCGCAACAGCAAGTTCGCTTGCCTTTCGGTCGACATAGCCGTGTGCTCGAAGAGGAAATAGACCATGACCTCGTCGGGAATGGTGAGGTCGGCCTCCTTGCAACGCCTGGCGGCCTTGTCCATCAGGTCGATCACCTCCACCAGCGTGTACGACTTGTCGTTCAGCGTCTGACCCAGCTTGAAGAAGCCCTTCATAGCCGAGCCCACCTTGTGCATCCGCTTCTCGTTGAACTTATCCTTAAGGAGCTTCAGCAACACTTGCCATCCCTGCTCCACACCAAACGTGCGAGCCGGGATGCCGGGATGTCCGACGCCTCGCCATCCAAAGCCGCGTGAAGCCGGAGGCCAATCTCCGCATCATCGATGATGTTCTTGGCGATCTCCACGTATGAGTCCACCTTGGATGCGTACTTACGGAAGCACTTCGGGTCCTTCCGACGGTCGCCGTCGAAAGTAGGGGCCGGAGGGAGATTCCCTCTGGGCCTGCGCTGCGCCTTGTCCTTGTCGTGACCCGACGCAGAAGCCTTCGCCTTGGCGGAAGAAGAGGATCGGTCAGAAGGTGAGCTGCCGGGAGCGCCTGCGCGAACTCCTTGACGTCCTCGCGCCAGGGAGCCTCCACGCTGGGGCTCAGGTAACAGCTCATCATCCTCCCGTTCCTGATAGTACTCAGCCCATGGGTCCACAGGCTCAAGCTCTTCCTCTTCCACTTCCAGCTCTGCAGCTTCATCATCTGTTGCGCCATCCACGAAGTCTCGGAGATCAGCGAGACCTCCCTCTTCTTCCCCCGTGCCGCCAAGCTGCGACATAAGGGATCGTTCTTGCACATGCTACCAATGCAATCAGCTGGGTTCACACAGCGAGGATTCACAGTAGTTGGAGCCTGGTTCACAAAAGGAACATGTTTTCAAAAGGCCTAAGGCCTGAAAGCGGGATGCACTACCGCACGTTTTGCTCGAACAGCTCAAGGGCCCTCCGGTGAGCACAGGTATATGCACTGCACAACGCATGAAGAATTGCAGTAAGCTCCATTGGGAAAATTTCGTAGGGGAAAAGTTGTATGGCTTGTTCTGGGGTAACATTGGACAAGTCTTGGGTCTGGGAGTAGTGAAAACGAAGTGTGGTGGTGCTGTGGCGAGCTGCACTCTGGTAGGCTTGTAGGAACTTAAGCGTGGTTGTCATACGATCCTGGAAAGTTCTTGGGAACGTCTCCAATACATGCGTCCTATGCTGAGGCTGAATTGCAATTTGACATACCGATGTATT